CAAGCACTTTTTCAAACAGTGCCTATTTAAAATTTGGAACTTAATGCCACAAGATGTAGTTATGGCTGCTGGTACATATTATTTAAAAGGGGACTGAATAAATTCAGGTTGGGGCATTAACTGCAACTAATGAGGTCAGCTAGTTTTCATCTCCTGTATAGCTTGATCTGTCGTTTGCTAGAGAACGCATGACAGAAATGGCCGCTGAAATCACGTCTTGTATATGGGCTTCACATGGACAACTGGTTGGCACCTGTGTAAAGAAAAAGTTAATCCAGATATGCCTTTGGTCTGATCCCATATGGATCTTATGAATTGGGATCACTGATGAGGAGAAGTCATGAAAGTCAAAACGCACTGTGCAGTCAATGATCTTCTCCCATTAGTGAGGTCTTCTCCTCTTTAGTTCTCATACGTTGTACCCACATTGAGCAGTCAATGATCTTCTCCCATCAGTGAGGTCTTCTCCTCTTTAGTTCTCATACGTTGTACCCACATTGAGCAATCAATGATCTTCTCCCATTAGTGAGGTCTTCTCCTCTTTAGTTCTCATATGTTGTACCCACATTGAGCAGTCAATGATCTTCTGCCATTAGTGAGGTCTTCTCCTCTTTAGTTCTCATACGTTGTACCCACATTGAGCAATCAATGATCTTCTCCCATTAGTGAGGTCTTCTCCTCTTTAGTTCTCATACATTGTACCCACATTGAGCAGTCAATGATCTTCTCCCATTAGTGAGGTCTTCTCCTCTTTAGTTCTCATACGTTGTACCCACATTGAGCAGTCAATGATCTTCTCCCATCAGTGAGGTCTTCTCTTCTTTAGTTCTCATACGTTGTACCCACATTGAGCAATCAATGATCTTCTCCCATTAGTGAGGTCTTTTCCTCTTTAGTTCTCATACGTTGTACCCACATTGAGCAGTCAATGATCTTCTCCCATTAGTGAGRTCTTCTCCTCTTTAGTTCTCATACGTTGTACCCACATTGAGAAGTCAATGATCTTCTTCCATTAGTGAGGTCTTCTCCTCTTTAGTTCTCATACTTTGTACCCACACTGAGCAGTCAATGATCTTCTCCCATTAGTGAGGTCTTCTCCTCTTTAGTTCTCATAAGTTGTATCCACATTGAGCAGTCAATGATCTTCTCCCATTAGTGTGGTCTTCTCCTCTTTAGTTCTCATACTTTGTACCCACACTGAGCAGTCAATGATCTTCTCCCATTAGTGAGGTTTCCCTCTTTAGTTCTCAAACGCTGTACCCACATTGAGCAGTCAATGATCTTCTCCCATTAGTGTGGTCTTCTCCTCTTTAGTTCTTATACGTTGTACCCACATTGAGCAGTCAATGATCTTCTCCTATCAGTGAGGTCTTCTCCTCTTTAGTTCTCATACGTTGTACCCACATTGAGCAGTCAATGATCTTCTCCCATTAATGAGGTCTTCTCCTCGTTAGTTCTCACACCCTTGTACCCACTCTCCGAACACTCCATGCTTTAGCGATGCACAATTGTTTACTTGTGAGTTTAGCTGTGTTTTCCACAGCTGATTCTTCAAATACGAATGGCCATCATTTTTCCTTTTCATGCCTGTCTACATACACTGGGTAACAACACTACCAATTGTGGTTTCCAGGGGAGTGCATGCAATTGCTAAATAAGCATGCATGTCTGTCAATCATACCTTAAGAATATGCTGTTGGAAACAGCATTAAAATATCAGTGTGCTCCTAGCCAACGAAAGTGGTTACTTAAAACATGGAGCTGCTGTGAATAGCTCCAGGAATTGAGCTAAGTGATTGTGTCAAGTCAGGAGCTAGCTGGGTACAACGTTTGCAGCCCAATCCACTGACTGGTTGCCCGTCCCTACTTTCTGTGAGGCACCTAGAACTCATCCCTCCACCCTCCTCCATTTCGAACCCCAAAAGTATTTCCCCACCTGAACCATCAGTGCAGCTCCCCCACTTTTAGATTTGAGAGGCATAAAGAGGCAAATGGAAAGTAGAACCTACATGCTCCAGTTATATTGTTGAACCTCTGTAATTTAAATGACATATTTTGTGTCAAAACAACTAATTATTATGCTATGTAACAAAATTTGTTCCTGGTTCAAAAGTGTTATTTCCTGTTTAATTGTATGGTACTTACTATGAAAGTAGTTGTTCTACTCCAGAAAATGTGTTTTTGTGGCAGTCACAATGTTGAATTAGCTCACAATGTATGAAATATTCATTGAAAACTAGAGCAAAATGTGCTACAGGGTGTCCCTCCCGCAGAAACAAAGTTTTTGCTGTTTAATAAACTTTTTCTATGTTTTTATGATAGAACCAATTAGGAAATTACATGTATAACCCAGGGAAAAAATCATAGTGTTATTGTAAACAGAGCAACAAAAGTGGATTTTCACATTGCCCGTGTCTTCATTAATCCCAGAGAACAGGAGTTCACAGTAAATACAGGAGTATCATTTCTTTTACTTCAGTTTGGGGAGGTGAGGAGGGATTGGCAAAATTAATTCCCCATGTAGAAAAACCCAGGAGGAACTCAAAACCTTGTGGGGGTTCCTAACGCATTGTGTTTTTGCATGCCATCACTGCAAACACAACGTACTTAAGTACCACTGGGTACAAGCCATTTGCGATGCAGTTCTAGCCAAATGGTTCCCAGGGCACGACAGACACTTAGAGCAAATCAGACATCTTTTTACAGCAAATGCCTCTGGGTAAATTAGAAAGCTTTTTAGTGTATTACAAAGTTCTTCAATGCAACTAGAGAGCAGCTAAAAAAAGGTCTAGGATGGATCGAAACTACCATCAGGCACTGCCTCAGTGGGGACGTCCCCTGACAAACCTTCTATATCAGAGGTGAGAAACATGTGGCCCTGCAGGTGGTGCTGGGATTACAACTCCCACAGCCCTTGCCAGCACAACCAGTGGTGAGGAATATGCAGGACTCCCATCTTTTATTCTAGATGGACTAGACTTTACATCTCTTCTGATGGTGTTCCAACAGAATCATAGAATAGAATAATAGAATCATAGAGTTGGAAGAGACCTCATGGGCCATCCAGTCCAACCCCATTTTGCCAAGAAGCAGGAAAATTGCATTCAAAGCATCCCTGACAGATGGCCATCCAGCCTCTGTTTAAAAGCTTCCAAAGAAGGAGCCTCCACCACACTCCAGCACAGAGAATTCCACTACTGAATGGCTCTCACAGTCATGAGTTCCTCCTAATGTTCAGGTGGAATCTCCTTTCTTGTAGTTTGAAGCCATTGCTCCACTGCATCCTAGTCTCCAGGGAAGCAGGAAACAAGTTCGCTCCCTCCTCCCTATGACTTCCTCTCACATACTTATACATGGCTATCATGTCTCCTATCAGCCTTCTCTTTATCAGTCTAAACATGCCCAGCTCTTTAAGCTGCTCCTCATAGGGCTTGTTCTCCAGACCCTTGATCATTTTAGTTGTCCTCCTCTGGACACATTCCAGCTTGTCAATGTCTCCCTTCAATTGTGGTGCCCAGAATTGGACACAATATTCTAAGGGTAGTCTAATCAAGGCAGAATAGAAAATGGGGAATCATAGAATCAAAGAGTTGGAAGAGACCTCATGGGCCATCCAGTCCAACCCCTTGCCAAGATGCAGGAAAATTGCATTCAAATCACCCCTGACAGATGGCCATCCAGCCTCTGTTTAAAAGCCTCCAAAGAAGGAGCCTCCACCACACTCCGGGGCAGAGAGTTCCACTGCTGAATGGCTCTCACAGTCAGGAAGTTCTTCGGTGACTTCCCTGGATCTAGACACTATGCTCCTCTTGATGCAGGCCAAAATCCCATTGGCTTTTTTTTGCCTCCGCATGACATTCCTGGCTCATGTTTAACTTGTTGTCCACGAGGACCCCAAGATCTTTTTCACACGTACTGCTCTCGAGCCAGGCATCATCCCCCATTCTGTATCTTTGCATTTTGTTTTTCCTGCCAAAGTGGAGTATCTTGCATTTGTCCCTGTTGAACTTCATTTTGTTAGTTTTGGCCCATCTCTCTCGTCTGTCAAGATCATTTTGAATCCTGCTCCTGTCCTCTGGAGTATTGGCTCTCCCTCCCAATTTGGTGTCATATCTGCTTCAGTTCTCAGTGTGCACACACTCATGCTTAAGAGGACATTCCTCATTCCCACCCCTTTCAGCGGATCCATGCCAAACAGCTGGGAAAGGAGGGTTTTTGTCCTCATTACGGCACGATGTGTGAGGAGGAACAGAGTTCTAATTGGCCCCTTTGCTGTGATTGTGTTCTGTTGGCAGGGAGGTTTTCATCTTTTAAAATTTGCATTTCATTTTTTCTGCCTAAGTGGAGTATCTTGCATTTGTCACTGTTGAACCTCATTTTGTTAGTTTTGGCCAATTATCTCTCTAATCTGTTAAGATCGTTTTGAAGCTAAAGCCTCCCACACGATCTCTTCGTTCATCTGGAGAGGCCCTGCTCACGATCCCACCGGCATCGCAAGTGCGACTGGTGGGAACGAGGGACAGGGCCTTCTCGGTGGTGGCCCCACAACTCTGGAACTCCCTCCCCAAGGACATCAGGCACTCCCCAACATTGGCAGTCTTCAGAAGGAGCTTGAAAACATGGATGTTCCAGTGTGCCTTCCCAGATTAAGGAATCCCAAGCATTATGTCCCAAATGCACTTTATGAGAGAGCTAGAATTGTCTGCACACCCTCTTAATCCCAAAATATCCATCCTGCCTCACCTGGACACACCCAGCATTTTTAGGAATTTTAATCATTACATTTGGCCCTGCCACAGGTTTTTAAATGCGCCTTGTTTGTTATTGTTCTGCTTTGTTATGAGTTATTTATTATTGCATTGTATCATTGTTGTTGTGTTTTTTGTTTACGATGCATTTTGGGCTTGGCCTCTTGTAAGCCGCACCGAGTCCTGTGGGAGATGGTAGCGGGGTACAAATAAAGGATTATTATTATTATTATTATACTTCCCATAACTCACCGATTGTAGTCGAGCCTGGATTGGTGCAGTTGCTGCTGTTGGAGCAACAGCTTTGCCTCTTGCTTGGCGAGCAGATTCTGGAGGCGCTCCTTTTCGATTTCCAGCTCTAGTTTCTGGAGCACCAGCTGTCTTCTTCGCTCTTCGGACAGCTTCTTACCATGGTCTGTGTCTTTAGACCTTGAGCTTGGGCTGCCATTCAACCCCGAAGGATGCGGCGGGCAAGAATGATTGACAAATGATTCACAATGTGGTCCAGAATATCTTTTTGGAATGTGAGTGCCATCTTGGAAAGAATCGTGATCGGAGCCACTCAGTTTCTTGTGGAAAGAACAGGTCTGAAGAGGGCAAGTGCTCTTCCTGCGGCCCACATCCGGAGTTCTTTCAGCGTGGGGAGGCAACTTCTGCCTTGCCGGGGACAGCACGTTGTTACATTTGCCATGCAACCCATTTTCCAATAGCGATCCATTCCTAGCTTCATGAAGACAACTGTTCCTACACGGCTGGGCTAAACACATGGGAGGAGGGCTTCGGCACGCCATTCCGTTGTTCTTGTATAAGGTCTGCGGCCTAGTCAGACTGAGGTAGGACCCGTCCAATTCAGAAGGTGCTCGTTGCTGATAGAGACTTCTCTGATTAGACATCTGAAAGCAATGAAAAAGGGGGAAAAGTTTAACTTCCACCATCGCAAACATCTTTAATTGTTCCTTGCTTAGTTCTCATCACAGCCTACAGCATTAAAAGTAAAGGAAAAAAACCCTTAGATGGGCATCAGTGGGCTTGAAGGAGTTTGATGATCAACACCTCGCGCAACTCAACAGAAAATGGTTTTCAAATGGAAGAGATGAACATGCTATCAAATCTGCAATTTAATTCCGTCTACACAGGTACAATAAATATAAAACCACAGCCTACAGGATCTGGGGCATAAACAAGGCACTCCAGCCTATCAAGGAGTTGCGAGTACCTAGGGTTACATAAAATCAACCTGAAGTGTGGCAAAAAAAGCATTAAATGTTAATGTCTGAAAATGTTTAATTTTGAATACGGAGCCAAGAAATCCATTCAGCCACTATAAATACCGTCTGATTGGCCATTACACAGCAGGGGATTTGATGCAAAACATTTCACCTTGCACTGAATGGGATATTACTTACTGTTGGAAATTTGATGAGAGTTTTTGAAATATCCTTACAGAAACACTGATAAAGAACTAGACCACTTCCTGTAAAATACGGGTCTGCGTCAAAAGCTGTCATTCAACTACAACACACGGTAAAAATCCTTCCATGAAAGTGAGCATTTTTTTTCCAATTAAGTTGGGCTGGTGATGAAACTCTGATAAAACTCAAAAGCTGGAAAGGCATTAATTTGCATTTGTCAACCCAATCCAATGGGTGGGGGAAGCGGGACGAGGTCCAATTGTTGTGAAATTGAAGTTAATGGGCATTCAAATGGCTTGGAGGTCAGCAACTACTTTGCCTTGTGAATCCCAACAGCTTCCAGACAGAAGCCAAAGAACTTCTTTAGACCCAAGATTACTTACTTAGGCAATCACTTGTAGACCAAGGATGGTGGTCCTCCAAGTGATGCGTATTTGCAGTGGGTCCGTAGGTGGCTGTGGAACCCTATTCTTTTTCTTTTTTTCTTTGCTTCATAAAGTGAAACAAGATGGAATATTTATAATCTTGGAATGCTTTTCTTGTAAGTTCCAGAACAGAGTTTCTCAAACGGTGATCCTCCAGATGTTTTGGGCTTCAGCTCCCACAATTCCTAACAGCTGGTTAGCTGGCTGGGATTTCTGGGAGCTGAAGTCCAAAACACCAGGAGGAGCAGAGTTTGAGAATCACTGTTCTAGAGGGTTGTTGTTGTTTTTAAAAAGTATAAACATGATTCATCACCAGGATCGGAAGAACTTTGTTATTATTACATTAAATTGAGGCAGGTAGTCAACTGTTTTGGGCTCAGATTTTTTGAGGGGAACGAGACATTTTGGTTTACTTTTGGAAGCTGGCCACTTGGCAAAGAGCTACCTCCTCGATAATGTGGAGTCCTTGATACAGCCCCCTATAATTTGGGGGCATTATTTGCTTTCTCGTAGTCTATACTCAATAGACACAAATGCTGAACTCCTTGTGTTTTTCTTTGATCCATGTACTGCTCCTGTATCCCTCTGAAGGCTACTGGAAGTAGGAGGATATGTTCTTCCATGGTGAGGACAACAGTTTCCAGGTGGAAGGCGGTTCTGGTCAGGCTTGGTTTGACACACCTTCCACTTGGCACGTTTCTCACCTTTCACCCTCCATCCATGCCTCTTTGAATTCCACAGCACTGCTGCTCACAGCTGACCTCTACCTGGAGCGCTCAAGGGCCAGGGCTTCCCAGTTCTCGGTGTCTATGCCACGGTTTTTGAGGTTGGCTTTAAGCACGTCTTTATATCTCTTTTCCTGTCCATCAATAACCCATTTTCCATTCTTGAGTTGGGAGTATAGTAACTGCTTTGGGAGACGGTGATCAGGAATTCGGACAATGTGGCCAGTCCAGCAGAGTTCATGGTGTAGGAGCATCGCTTCAGTGCTGGTGGTCTTTGCTTCTTCCAGAATGCTGACGTTTGTTTGCCTGTCCATCAGCATTGCCTCTGAAAAATCCCACAAAACCCAAGGATTTGTTTTGATAACAATATTATATTTCAGTTCTGCTCCAGAATGACTTTTCCAGGAGGTGGGAAATCACCAAAGAAATCAGAAACGTTTCCATGGGAATAAGGAGTGGAGAATCTTTAAAGCTTGTGAGCAGTGATGGACGGCAAGTTCTTCCCAGTTAGCACCTTGGAGCCAAGTGCCATCAATATTGTGAATTTACATTTCCGCCTTAAGGATGCCGCTTGTTCTTCCCCCCTGTCAGTTTTTATTGACCAGGACATATTCAGTTACGAGTATAAAGAGCAAGCCCGAAGTCTGTATTCTCTACACACATTTCTCTACTTTGCTCCTCTGGCTCTAGGCAACTCAATTCTCACCGATTTCTTAGAGGGTATCACTGTTTTGCTTGGGGATGCAGACCTGCATGCCTCTTTGTCTACAAGAAGCAGAGGCCGATACGAATATACTAGAAAAAGAAAGCTAGGAAACAAGACAAATAGCTTCAAACTCTGGCTTTGCAGTTTCTTCTTCCCAAACTAGGGAATTAGAATGCTGGGGAAAAACAGATTTCACGTCTAGCTTAAAAAGCAAACATCCTCCCTGAAAGCCCAAGAAGTTGCTATCAGTTGGGTTAGACAATATCTGTATGTATGGGGTTGTCTCCAAGATGGCTTGATGGATCTGGACCAAACTTGGTACATAGACCCATCACGACCAACTTAATATACTGGTGAAATCTGGGTGAGATTGGCAAAGGATTATTGGAGTTGTATTCACCTATATCCAGAGAGCCATGTAAACCCAAACAACATAGATTTGGATCAAATGTGTCACACATACCCATCATCATCCACCTTAAAATACTACTGGGGTTTCAGGAGGATTGACAGAGGATAATGGGAGTTGTAGTCCACTCACATTAGATCTGGACATAATGGGAGTTACACCCCACCAGACAGATCTGGGGTAATGGGAGTTACAGTTGGCTTCCAAAAGGACCATTCATGGAGCCTCCGGTGGTGCAATGGGTTAAACCCTTGTGCCGGCAGGACTGAAGATCGACAGGTTGCAGGTTTGAATCTGCGGAGAGCATGGATGAGCTCCCTCTGTCAGCTCCAGCTCCCCATGTGGGGACATGAGAGAAGCCTCCCACAATGATGGTAAAACATAAAAAATATTCGGACGTCCCGTGGGCAACTTCCTTGCAGACAGTCAATTCTCTCACACAAGAATCAACTTGCAGTTTCTCAAGTCACTCCTGACATGAAAAAAATGAAATCCAAAACAAACTATTACTCATAAATAGCATTTTTTGTTGTTCATTTGTTCAGTCGCTTCCGACTCTTCGTGACCTCATGGACCAGCCCACGCCAGAGCTCCCTGTCGGCCATCACCACCCTCAGCTCCTTCAAAGTCAAGCCAGTCACTTCAAGGATACCATCCATCCATCTTGCCCTTTGTCAGCCCCTCTTCCTTTTTCCTTCCATTTCCCCCAGCATAATTTTCTTCTCTAGGCTTTCCGGTCTTCTCATGATGTAGCATTACAAAAGACCTAACCTAGGCATTACAGAGTAGCTAAGCTAGTAAAGATAAAGGAACCTATGGGCCAATTCAAGCAGCTTCCAAAGGTCTAAATACCCTGAGGACACAAGATCTCATTTGTTCTTAGAAACAAAGCCGAATCATCCTTGGTTGGTACTTAAATGGGGGGCTTCCAAGGGCTATCAGATGCTGTAGTCTAGCTACATAAGAGAACTGGGAAAGGAAAAGCTACCTCCGAGTATCCTTTGCCTAACAAAACTCAATGAAATGCATGGGGTCCTCATATTTCCACAGGGAACTTGAAGGCACATACACACCCCAGGCAGCTTTCTACGCTTCCAGCAGAACGGATCTTTTATTTTCCAACAGAAAATCCAGAAAGCTGAACCTTCTTGCATTACGGCTTGCATGCCAGTTCATTCATTATCACACAATTTCTTAGATCCTTTTAAATGGGTCAGAGCCACGCTCTTTATTAATTTAGTTATTTGCATTTAATAAGAAGCATGTTAAGTAGGCTCTCTACGCATGCTATACATCAAAATAAAGCAATTTTACTGAAATGGTATTAGAGTACCAAGTTTTGCAAGGGAACAAACAACTGTCACGTATGTATTTTCAGTCAAAAATTAGATGAGACATTGCTTGTGACCTGAGAATAAAGGTGAGCACCAGCATAGCAGGAAAACTTCTGGCACAGACGAGCTAGGAATTTCTCTATCACACCTCCATCAAACCATCATCTATAGTAGTGGTCCCCAACCTTTTATTAACCAGGAACCACTTGACCAAGGACCACTTGCCCGGGGACCAGTTTGACCAGGGACCAGTTTGACCAGGGGCCACTCTCCAACATCAGTACTAAAAGGGTTACGAAACAGTTTTTGGTCAACTTTAGATTCAGTTTATTTATTTGGGGTGCTGATTCAGAAAACTGCATTGGTTAGACCACATCAGCTCTGGTTTCTGATGCAGAACATATGCCACCCAGTAGTTGCCATATGCTCGACCAAAGAAAACCATATTTAATAACTAGAGCCGCGGACCTTATTTTAGGTCTCATGGACCACCATTGGGCCATGGTCCACAGGTTGGGACCCACTGATCTATACAGTCGGTGTAGAGCAGGGGTCCTCAAACTAAGGCCCGGGGGCCGGATACGACCCTCCAAGGTCATTTACCCGGCCCTCGTTCAGGGTCAACCTAAGTCTGAAACGACCTGAAAGCACACAACAACAACAATCCTATTTCATCAGCCAAAAGCAGGCCCACTGAAATACTAATAAGCTTATATTTATTAAAATTGTTCTTCATTTTAATAATTGTATTGTTTTAAAGTGTTTTTGCTCTACAAATAAGATATGTGCAGTGTGCATAGGAATTCATTCATTTTTTTTTCCAAATTATAATCCGGCCCTCCAACAGTTTGAGGGACCGTGACCTGGCCCTCTGTTTGAAAA